ATAATTTGAAGTAAAATTTGTATCAAAATATGCAAAAGAGCAGAAATTATAACATCCTTAAATTAACACACACACATACACATGTAACATTACATATTAACATTACTTTTTTGTTTGTAATAGAATCAATAGAAAATGAAATAACAGATTGTGAAGACGAACCAACAAAGAAAAGACGTAAAATACAGCACATCTACAGTTTGAAAGAAAAAAATACGGATAAAAATGTTGAAGGTATGATTTATGTAATATATTAATGATGTAATGTTCAAACAGCACGTTTATGTCATCTAATCGAAATAGTTAGTCATATGAACCTGTCTGTCTTTACTGGAGGCTTTTTAGCTTAATTTATTCAACCTTCGAACGAGTATTATGCCTTTAATTTTTTGACAATATATTAAACTAATAAATTTAATTTTTATTAACAACAGCAGAAAATAGGCTGAAATCTATGTTGCCAGAAACTCCAGCGAAAAACGTCGAAAGTAATGTAACAAGTATATTTTCTTCTACACATGAAACATCTTCAAATGCGATGAAATGTAAGAAATTGATTATCTTATTAATATATATATTTTTACAAGAAATATTTATATTTCTATATAAATAATACTTTTATATAACAATATTATTTTCTTTTGTATTATTTAAATAATTTGTAGATCTCAAATGCATATTATCCGATATACAAGGAATAAAACATGACCAACAAATTATAAAAAATCACTTGTGGAATATAAAAGATACATTTGAACAGTATTTAATACAACAAAACCATGAAAGTGAAAATGTACTAGTGCATTGGACAAAAACAAATAATATTCAATGGCCACTAAAAACTAAAGAAGATTATGATACTTTAAATAACCTATTACAAAATGAAGAAATCCGCAATGATTTTGTAAGCAGCATTAAATTTAAATTCAATAATTTTATATAAATTAAATTCTTTTATTTTCTACTATTATTAATATAGATTCTTTTATTACTAATAAAATATTTAATACAAATGTTTTATTGTAATGTTTATCATTTAATATAGATTTAACATTTAATATAAATTTGACATTATAAATTAAATAATTATATGCAATCAGTGAAATTAATAAAAAATGTAATTATTTTTTAGATGGCAACGATTGCTTTTATTATAGACAGCAGAAGAACATTGTCGAAAAATGTGCTCAGTATTATTCGCAAATTCTTGCATAAAGATTTAGCAAACAAATTCACATGTCTGAAACCAACTAAAAACAAGTTTACGCTTCAACCGTCAAATTTTTACAACTGTATAGTCGGTTAGTTATATATTACATATATTAGCCTGATATTTTGCG